TATTTTAATTTAGAGAGCTATAATTAAATACATTCAAAAAGTTTCAATTTTTAATCTAAGAAAGCAATAAAATAATTTAAAGAAAAATTAGTTAAAATAAAATATGAAGAAAAATAATAAATATTTTTTGGAAATAGTAAAACTAAGTGTTAAATATAAAGAGCATGTTTGAGTACTTAAAAAGTTTTACTCTCTAAATTTACAAAGAGTCTCTTGGAAATGTTCTAATCATTCATATTAGCTGAAATCAGGGATTCATGTGGTGAACGAACATCTTCAAAAAGAATTATGCTAGATGTGCACCTGGTGGTTTATATAATGGATTACACCCCTCTCACATGGAGGAGGGCCTACGAATATTTTATTGTGTATGGGCCCCCCTTCCATGTGAGGGGGGTGTAATCCATTGTGTAACTCATTGTGTACATCTAGCATAACTCTTTCAAAAAACCTTCGAAAAGAGAAGACAGGCTAAATGAAGAAAAAGAATGTTGTGCATAATTTGATGGATGACAAAAATCAGAAAACTAGGAAAACCTCGAACATACACCAACAGGAAGCAAATTGCAAAGGCGGACAAAACCAGGAACCGAATAAACTACTCATTAGGCAATATTATCCCGGTACCGAAACCAAGATATGAATTATACAAGTAGTTAAGCTGGTAAGTCCATATTAAAAAAACCAGTCAAAACAAGTACTGCAACTATTGAAATCAAAATCTATCGACAGGGTGTGGACTTCAATTGATGCCAACGATCTAAAGAACGACAAATAATCCTTTTCTTAGGCCAAAGAAATCATAGGAAATTTTCAAATATCTCGAGTCACCGGCGGATTAGAAATGCCAAAGCCAACCCGTATCATCCTCTGTTAGATTGTCCAATTCACATAACTCCAGGAACCCATCAATTAGAACACGATTTATGAACATAAAAAAATGCAACAATGAATGATGGGTAAAATGAATTCCAAGATAATTAAAGAAACCTGGTTTGTAGAAGACAGAGAGGCCAAAATCAGTGGCCTTGAGGGCAGCATCCTCATCAGCACTTGTAAACAAGAAATTCTCAGGCTTAAGGTCCCTATGCATAACCCCTAAAGAATGACAAGCCTCAACTACCCCAACAATAGTCTTCACCAGCTTTGCAGCCTCTTTTTCACTGTAATGTCCCTTTTTCACAATCCTATCGAAAAGCTCGCCACCAGCGCACAACTCCATCACTATGTGCACAAAAACAGGATCCTCATAAGTGCCCTTTATTCTCACCACATTAGGGTGCTCAGACAAGTGATGCATTATCTGAATCTCCCTCCATACATCATCACAATCCTCTTTGCATATGAGTTTTCTCTTGGGAATGGACTTGCAGGCATAGGGAATGCCAGTTGATTTCTCTGTGCACAGAAAGGTAGTTCCAAACTGGCCCTGGCCTAGCTTCTTGCCTATAGAATAAAGACTGTGAAGACTTGGCGTGCTGTAGGGAAGGACCCCTGTTGGTTTTGGAAGATGCTGCTGCGCCATGAAATTTGCTTTCTTGATTATGGATTTTTTATTTTAATCTTGAATTTTGATGTGGTGAAGAAGAAGAAGAAGAGAGGACCGTGAGAAATAAAGTCAAACGTTTGACTTTTTTTTTTTTTGACATTTTCTTTATTGGCGTCGCAGCAATTTCTTGGTATGTACCTGTCTATTTAAGACTTGGTCTCCACGTTGAAAATTCACTTCTTTCCAGTTTTCGACCCTTTGGGTTTCAAAAAGAAAAAGGAATACAGGAAACGGAAAGGAAATAGGGTTGAGCATTTTTAATCTTCTTCTTCCCCTTTTTTGGATAATTTGCACATAAAATTCCCAACGTATGGATCAAGTCTCAATTTTTTCTTCACTTTTTGTCCTATATAACATAGCTCATCAACTAGGAATGACAAAATAACTCTACCCGTCCGACCCGCATTCCCTTGTTGCATCAAAAATCAAACAAAAATGACTTTTTCGAAAATGTTGATTTGGGTCCACATGGATCTGTCTAACGTTTTGATTTTGAACCGAACCAAACTAAATTGATTTAAATAGGTTTGGTTTAAGTTTTGAATTTTGCAAACTGTTTCAAACTGCATAATCCTTTACAAAAAGTATATCTAAAATTAAATTGAATTAATTTTTTATCCAGCCTAATTAAAACAACACATCCCAATTAAAAAGACACATTCGTATTAGACTCATTCAATTAAACTCAATAGGCAATTACTCATCCCAATTAAATTAAACTATACTCTATTATCCATCAATCATCATAATTAAGAATGCAGAAATCTCAAATTGATTAAAGTGTTTAACAATTGTTGCTAAACAATATTCATGGTCACGAGTAAACAATTAAATCTTGATTTTAATTCAAACAAACTCACATAATTGATTTTCCTTCTACTAATAATTTTCTCAAATTTCAACACAATTTTTTAGGCTCTATTATCCAATTATTATTTATTTGTCGGAAATGGTTTGCTATAATTTATTGTTAGTTGTGTTGTTTTATTCAGATATGTGTTGAGTTCCTTTAACTTTTTAGCTGAACAATATGTTTTTTTTATATATATATATAATTTGAATCTCAAATTTCGGGGAAGTAACTTAATTTATTTTTATCTTTTAAATACTCCCAAAAAAGTCCGAAAATCTGTCCAGTTTGGGTAGC